TTTGCATAAGAATAAATGGTTTTGTGCAGCTGTTGGCAGACCAGATAATTGTAAATTGGTGTCATGTGTTAGTTTTTGCTAATTCTACTAAAATATACTCTTTGTACTGGACTGACTGATACCAGTGAACAGCCATTCTGCAAGAATTTTATGAACTCTAAGACCAGGTTTACTTGGCATGTCTTGTCTGGGTTTTTTCGGTTTTTTTGCAGTAAGATTTTGCACATTTCAAGATATTACACTTCTTTCATCCAAATCTATCTCTTTGGCCCCAAAAACTTTTCGGTTTGTTGTATGGAGCTTGCCCCAAAAGTGTTTGCGGCGCTACGTCTTTCATTTTATCCCTACTTTTTTTCTTCAAATGTCGGCTGACGCTTTGATCCCCTTAACCCTAAAAGGGCTGGGGGGGGGGGGGCAGACCCCTCAACTTTTTCTGCAATAGCCTTTAAATTTATATTTGGCCATTTTCATTCAACAATATGTCAACAAAACAAAAACATGGTGTGTGGCATTCCTATCAAAAGAATGTGTGTTAAATTTATATAAGCCATTTGTGCATGAATGTGTGCCAACTTGTACAATGAAAGTTGAAACCTCAGCAAGTTTCACATCCAGTGGATGTCCAGGTGTTTGAAAAGAAAACTGGAATTCCCCTGTTGAGAAATACCCTGATTTTGCAATCATGACATTCTGCTGGAGTTAAAAAAAAAAATTCACCATGTATGAAGTGCAAAAAAATATATGACAAAAGCATATGACTTGGAATGAAAAATTGAATACTAATTTATACCAAATATTGGCACTGTGGAGAGTGGCCTAGTGTTTGATCGGATGGTCAGGGGTTCAAATCCAGCTGCTGGTCATATGTTGTGTCCTTTGGCAAGCCACTTCACCTCCACTTGCCTCTCTCCCCGGCGTCCAGGAGTATAAATGGGTACCGGCATGAGTGATGGACTGGCATCCCATCCGTATTTCAGGGGACCAAAAATTTCTCACTTGTTTCATGCCAAGGAAATGCCGGCATGATTTTGAAATACCTCTTGAAATTTTGAATGGTTTCAAGGTGTTGACAATACTGTTCAATGATGTGGGCCAAATAACATGTGAAAAGATGCATGTTTTTGCCCAGCAGTTGCCTGTTGGCATATATAACACATGCTCTATTAATTATGCAAGAATGTTTAGATAGAAATTTGACAGGAAGATGTATACATATGGAACATTAAAACAAGTCGGTTCACTATCTTGAATCACGTGTCTTGCCTGCTATTGCAATCATGATCTTTAAAGAGTGACCTTTGACCTTGGTGAATGACCTTTGACATCATTATCCTATGAAGGTTGTCATGTTGCATCTATGACCCAAGTTCCAATTGAACTTCAATTTTTGAAACAAGACCAATTTTACATTTTCAGCCTATTTTACAACTTGACCTCATATGACCTTTGAACTTGGTATGTGACCTTTGACCTTGGTATGTGACCTTTGAACTTCGTATGTGACCTTTGACATGGTTATCATATGAAGGTCCCTGTGATGCATCTATTCAAGTTTGATTCCAATTGGACAGCAACCATTGAAATGAGACCAATTTTAAGAAATTTTAATCAAAATACCACAGACACACATTTTGTACATACTGCATACATGTACATGTATGTATGCACATGTATGTACATGTAGGGCTAGGACAACAATTATGGACAGACATAATAATCCCATAAGTTCTTTCTTGGACAAAGTCACAAACAACATTTTATTGAAAGTATAGGCATATTTGTTTGCTTGTTGCCAGGGTACCCATATTTGTTTTTTGAAAACACTGTAACTCATTGAAAATGTCAGCACACCAGGAGTGTTGACATACATGTACCATAATGTTAAATGTGGTGCAAATAACAATGTATGTAAAAGATGCTTCAATGTTTCGCGCAGCTGTTGCCTGTAGGGATGATATCATATGGCACATATGGTCCATATGCAGAAATATTTGGTTAGAAATTTGGCAAGAAGGTGTATACATAAACATGAACATAAAAAAATAAAATTAAAAAAAATCAACCACCATATCATGCAGTTTACAGAAAGCAGGCATATTTGGTTGCTTGTTGACAGGGTACCGGTGTTTGTTTTTGTAAACCGTCCCGTAGCCCCTTGATCTGCCCATGGAGAATGTGAAAAAGCTTGAATTCAATGGATCCTATTGAATTTTGTGGGAACAAGCGGGACTTCCCCTGATGAGAAATAAGCCCATGACAATGGATGAATTGAAATCATTTGGGCCCCCCATCCCCCCCCCCCCCCCCCCCAAAAAAAAAATTGCCCAAATTTGCCATCATCAATTTAATATGGTACGAACATGAAAACTTGACATTAATTTGTACCGGTACATTAACATAAATCATGTACATGTACATTGCTTGTTCATTTCTACTGCGTACCGCGGAACAACATTAACATAAATCATGTATATTGCTTGTTCAGTTCTAGGTTCCTGGTAAAACACAGTGATCGTTCTCTATGAAGTACATATGACAAAAGTTTTTTGAAATATTGAATACAAATTTACAAGATATTGATATATATGGCGGAGTGTGGCCTAGGGTTCGCGACTCATGATCAGACAGTCAGGGGTTCAAATCTAGCTGCTTCATGCCAAACAAGTCAAAAATTATAAATTTCCAACGATTTTGCTCAACAATTTTACTTTTTGCCCCTCTAGCTTTATAATAGAGTTTCCAGCTCGCAAGTAAGATGTAAAAATAACTCCTTTTATGGAGATTCCCAGTAGAGAGTAAGATAAATCTCGCAACAGAGCTACCGGTGAACTAATTCACCTACACAGATGACTTACCTGTGTCCGCCAGGGAAATAAGAGAAGAAACTCTTAAAAACCCAGTACTCAGCAGAGTATTTGACTATATACAGCGTGGTTGGCCAAAACACATTGAGGAAGAACAAAGATTACTTTGTAAGGAGACAAGAACTAAGTGTGGACCAAGGTTGTCTATTGTGGGGTTTGAGAGTCATAATTCCACCAAAGTACAGAGAAAGACTCATAAATGAACTGCATCAGGAACATACAGGTGTTGTTCGCATGAAGGCTGTAGCACGCAGCTATTTCTGGTTCCCTAAACTGGATCATCAAATTGAGAAAATGGCACAGGATAGTGCAGCATGCAGTGCAATGAGAAATAACCCAAGTAAGATCTCCTTAGTACCATGGTCACACGCAAGAAAACCTGGGAGAGAGTGCATGTTGATTTCTGTGAACTTGAGGGTATAATTACTTTGTGATGATTGATAGTTATACTAAGTGGATAAATGTAGAGGTCATGAAGATGACTACCAGTGCCAAGACTGTGGAAGTATTGAGGGGTTGGTTTGCAACTTTGAATTAGCTGAAGAATTGGTGTCCAACAATGGACCGCAATTTAGGTCAGAAGAATTTGTGGTATTCCTGAGCAAAATTGAATCAAACATACACTAGTACCCCCGTATCACCCAGCTTCAAATGGTGCTGCGGAGAGGAGTGTACAAATTGTGAAACAAAGTCTGAAGAAGTATTTGATGGATGACAAGCTTGGGAAAAATCAAAGAGTGCCATTACATCGACTTGACAACTTTTTATTGTCATATCGAGTAACCCCTCAGTCTTCGACAGGCTACTCTCCCTACGAATTGTTGTTCAAACATGCACCAAGAACTAGGTTTAGTTTGCTTAAGCCAGATGCAAACACTAGCATTCGGGAAAAAGAAAACCCGAAATCTAAAAGCGACACTACTAAAGTGGATATTCAGGGAATTGGGGAAGTCGGACAGAGTCATGGTAAAAAACTTCCCAGTGGAAAGGAGAAATACGTAGTGGGGGTTGTTGCAAAAAGGCTGGGACCTTTGATTTACCATGTAAAAGTGGGAGAAAAACTTTGTCATTGTCATGTCGATCACTTACTTGCAGCTGGAAATGTAAAGGGTTCACAAGTAGATGATCAAGTATCACCACAATTACCCAAGGAAACGGCACCTGAGCCAGTGCAACTTGTTCCCAAAAGAATTGATCATGAGATAGGTGCTCATAAACCGAGTTCACCGTCTGAGATGGTTCAGAGTGATTCAGGGAGTTCAGAGGGGTCAGAGGAAAATCAGTCAAATGTGCAGGGCATTCCAGAATCACCTCCAGTTCAGTCATCTCCAAAGCTCCAGACTACACAGACTCCAGGAGGTAGATACCCAAAAAGAGTGATAAAAAAAACCTGATAGACTGATTGAGTCCATGTAAATGCTTTACATTTAAGAAAAATATTTAATTGAGTTTATCTCTTTGTATTAAACTCCATGGGTGAACATTCAAACCATAGGTAAAGCAACTAAGCAAGTCAAATCGACAATTTTACTATATAATTCAAGTGGAGTTGTGCTGACTAATTAGGTTTTGTTCTGTAAAAGCAACATGCAAGTACATGTACATTTTTCTTTTTTTAAGTTCAATGTGACAAATTTGGAAAAATGCAACTAATTCAGTCAGTTAAATTGTAAACCAGACTGCATTGTATTAAGAGTGTGATAATTGAACAAAAGAAAAGCACCCATGTTAACAAATTGGCAAAAACTGACATTGTGTAAAAATCTACCCAGATTGAAATTAAATGTACATGTATAACCCAGTTGTATGGGATTTCAAACAAGCACATTTTTAGTAGGGGAGGAGTGTAGTGTATTATCACTGTGAACTGTTATAGCGCCCTCTGTTGTGGTAATAAAACACATTGGTTCCAGAGCAACAAAGAATAACGAGTCAAGTCTCGATAACTCCCGTCAGTACACCACATGCACGATGCGGTCGCTAGAAAAAAAGATTCATGACGTAGCATAATGGGTAGGCCCCGAGAGGGCGCTCGTTGGTTGATTAAATCATTGTTTGAGCCTGTCGGCTGAATAAATATGCATATGTAGTAGCTATTTGGGTAAGTGAATGAAGTAGACACCAGGACTTTCCGTCATGAGAAATGCACCAATAACAATGAGAGGTGGGTGTGAGTTTCTGCCATGCAACGCCCACGTACCATCTCGTGCCAACTACCAAAAAATCAGGTGACCATCTGACATCATGTTTGAGAGTATATAAAACCGTGAGAATGCACCCTATTCTTTGGTACTTCAATTTTCAGTTACGAGAGGAGGAAGAGGTAAGTTGGTTAAAAACGTTTATAGTTGATGATTCTTTCATACAGGTTTAGATCAGAAATAATTCGCCATACAGCCGTGTGGTTACGAAGGTGAAGCATGGCCCGTTGATAAGCAAAGTTAATCTGATGAGGCAAAAAATTGTTCTGCTTCTGATTACATGCCTTTCAAAAATAGGGTCGGTCGGTCGGAATTTTTTTTTTTTTGCCAATTTTTTTTTATGCAGATTGAATGGCATGAATGGTATTCAATTATATGCGAAGTTTTAGCCTGAACTATTTCCATTGCACTACGAAAGTTATACACAATATGGCAACAAAAAGTGAACGAAACCTACCTTTAATTATTGTCAATATATTTATGTTCGATAATTTCAAAAAATAATGGAAAATTCAGGTCGTTCGCACCATATGCACAACGCTAGTCAAGACGCGGGGAGCTGACCAAAACTCTAAGGTGTGTGATGCGTGCATGTGTGGCGAGCGGCCCACCATGGGCCGACAGACCTGTTTTTACAGTCAAAAATTTCGGGAAACACGCGGCATGTATCACTCCAAATACGAGTAGTGCGATCTCAAAATGAACTCTTGAACACAGAAAATACATACACAGACAAGCTAAATCAATTCTGTAAATGAACTTGCAAAAATGTTCATTCTCCATCGGTGTTTTCTTGGCATTTTAACGATGTCGAATCAGTGTGGCCACTCTGGTTTTTTTTTCTTTTTCAAGATCGCCATCTAAATTTTTTCAAGATTTTTCAAGCCTATGAAAATTACTAGACTAACCAACCTGTCCCATTATGCAAAGGTTTTTTTTGAAAGGATTGAAGCTCTTTTCAACAAATGTGCCATTTTTTTTTCAAATTTGCTGTTAATTTTGTGTCAAAATACTATTTTTGCAGAATCCTGACAGAAATCTGCCAAAAAAATCCATTCTGTCAAATTTTCTGTCAAACTCTTTTTTTAACAAACATTCTGTCAAAGTTAGCCGAAAATCAGCTAAAACGGTCACAAAGCCCTCTCCCGCGCGCGTGTCATGCTTTCCTTACATACACTGCAGGGTCTGACCGTAAGTATAGGACGCCAATGCTAAAAGAATTACAATTAAAGTAAAAATAAAAGTCGCTAAAAAGCTGGGTGTTCAGTGGAAAAAGTTGTCAAAGTTTCTACAAAACATATGGTTTTGTACTTTTAGTTGAAAATTTTCAAGATTTCTTGCTTTTTCATTTTTTTTTTCAAGTTTTCAAGTTGGGTCTCAATTTTTCAAGACCTTGAAAATTTTTTCAAGCAGTGGCCATACTGTGTCGAATCCGACCAGTTGACAGTGGCCTGCACTGCTAGCGCGCTATGTGTGCAAGATAACTCAGTTGATGTGAAACTGAACTAAAAAGGATGCCAGGTTTTTTTTTTTTTTTTTAGTTCAATCCACTTTTGAATTGCTAGAAAAGTGGCAACATTTGAAAAATCAAATCTATTTGGGGGAACTCAGAAAAAAAACATGTACAGTAGCAATGAAAGTACATTGCACATATTTGATATGGTTGTGCATTTTGTGATGTGAATCAAGTTGAAACCAGCTAACTTGTGACAAGGCTGACGAACCATCAAGAACTATGCCATTATCCTTTGTAATGAAAAGTGGCTCAACATTTGTAAGATTGCGTTCCTCTATGGCAACTGAAACTTGACATATACTCAGTTTTCAATTAACATTTTCGTCTCTTTCATTTAGATTTACGACGACAATTATGACCTTGTAAAGCCTGCACCGGAACCCTTAAGGAATCGGTGCGATCCAAATAAATGTAATGGTATGTACATTTTTACAATTCAAAAGTAATCATTTAACAGTAAAGACAAATGTGACTGTATCTACTGTCAGCATCTATATATTTCAAAACTCAGATGGGATTTCTTTTTATTAGGAGTAGGCCCTATGGGATTTAATAAGGGATGATGTTGTCAATCTAATTTTTTATTAAAATTCTGAAAATTGGAAGAAAGGTATATGAAAGTTTCCTTCTATACACTGATAATGGCTTTAACTCTTTCAGAAATTCCTTTTAAATATCTTATTTGCTCTTTTCTGTCATACATTTAGTAAAACTAATGTGTTTCAGAAAGGGTGGGTTCGATTAGCTCCTACGGGACAACAGGGGTCAGCCCTGTGCCGTACGATTAACTCCGACATCATTCTTGGGGCTCACCCGGGTCAGCCACCACAGACCCTGCTCGTGGAGCAGAGTCAGTGGTGGAAATACGTCACACGCATGCATTGTTCATTCCAAGCAACAGCTGGACAGCAGAAATCTCAAGTGGACTTATAAATGGAACTTTGCTTGAAGTATAAATGTAATCACGAGTTCATAGTGACTGCTGGGGCTATAATTCTAGCCCAACTTTTTTGAGTTTTGCAATTAACTGAAAAGCACTAAATTTCAAACTAAGACCAAATCCGAAACAGGCGTTTTGCCAGAGGCTATGGCCACGGCTTCGGACATCACGTGAGGATTGTGATGGCCTAGCCTGCGGTTAAGCATTTGATTAGCCCCGCTGTCGTTGCTAAACTGTCTGCCTTCACACGAGTCGATCTGGGTAAGCTACTTGAACGCACCCTCAGGGAGTTTGAGAAAGGTTATGTAAACTTACAGGTGGAATGCATACATTATGTAAAAGCATTATGGTATGGATGGTTATCATTGCATTTTTTTTTCTCCAGATACTTTTAACTTTGATTGTAAAGTTGACGTTAGCGATTCAGAATTAAGTAAGAGTGAGGATGGCGTTAAAGACAATGACCCAGACTCGGTAAGTGGGGGTGTATGTGTTATTGTTTCACTTTATTTTTTTTTATCAGAGCGTTCACATACTTTCATCAAACCAAACATGACACCTTGAAGTTTTTATTCACTTGCATGTAAAGTTACTCAAAATTGGTAAAAACTGTCACATTAATTGGTGGTATTAATTGCGTATACCAGACTGAGTGTTCGAGCATGATCACCATTAAATCCCACAAAACAACATGAATCCATTTGCAACTGTCGGTTTATCAAATTCGAACTTGCAGCCACGTTTAATAGTGTCAAATTTTACAAAAAGAAAACATTTACACAGACAGGATCAAATGACACAATACGAAGTTAAAATAGCAGTACCGGTAACATCTGTAACAACCACCAAGAGTTACTGACAGCAATTTTTATTTAAAAACAAACAAACAACAAATAATGTATTAAGACAAGAGCACTAGAACAGTTACTATTTTGTGCTCTACATCCGACATCCAGTTCTTTCTGATGAAGAGCATGCTAACCAAAATGTCCATGTTTCCTACCAGTTCTTTTCACTGAATACAGGAATGCATACATCCTTTACAATACCATATTTGAACTTGCACAGAAACCATATACACAGTAGGCCTATGTGTGCAAGATAATTCAGTTGATGCGAAACTGAACTTGTCTTTTCTCTTTTGCACTCAAATTTCTCTGTTTCAGGAGGCCACGACCCACAACAAAGATGAAGTAGATACAATATCACCGGTAGTTTCTTCCCACGTTCTTTGTCGCTTTGGACCGCTTTGCCTAGTGGCTCCTTTCCGCCATCATACGATCTTTTGTCATTTCAGAGGAAAAGCAATATCTACCTTCAGCTTTTCTTATTATCTTTGGGATGAGTTTGGTTTATTTTTATAGTTGTCATTTTTTCCGCCTTCTCTTTAGCCATTTGGCAAAAGTATATATATATGGTAAATGTTTGTTAGATAATTTATACAGAAGAATATGTCCTAAAATATCTGAAACCTTAGACATCCGAACTTTTAAACAAGAGAATTTCCAAAAAAGGTATAAAAATAAATTTTCTGGCTTTTTCCTTAATGCAAACGATCTTCATACAATTTTGGTGAAATAAAAAAAATGTTAAATGACCTTCACTACCCCTTTGATTGGATAGCATTTGCAGAAACAAATTTTAAACAAAACTACAAAACTAGGGATGGTTATATATTTACTGGTTATATCAGAGAGGGCAAAGGTGGTGGTGTTGGTATTTACGTGCGAAAGGGCATCAAGTTTAAAGGAAGGGATGATTTGAAAATACCAGTAGATGGGGCCCCAACTCCACCTGATGTCCATTTCATTGAAATTATCCGGCCAACTGGTAGAAATATTGTTGTTGGTGTACTTCATGTTCCTTCAACAATAAGGAAAAGTGAGATGTTGTATCCCAGATTGATACAATCTTCCGAAAATGTTCTTTCAAAAATTAATGAGGAAAACAAAATCTCTTATATAATGGGGGATTTCAATATCAATCTTTTTAGCAAACATAGGACATCAACAAATTTTAAAAGAATGCTCTACAATAACGGCCATTACCCTCTGATCCAAGGACAGCCAACTCGTAGATCTGTGGAGCAAGGAAAAGAAAGGGGAACGCTAGTCGACAACATCATCACAAACTATAAACCCACTGAAACTATAGCGGGGATTCTGAAAAGTGATGTTTCGGACCATTATGGAGTATTTATGTTCTCTCCGTTGAACATTATCAGACACTATTTAAAGCCCTGTTCACAAGACAACACAAAACCTTGCCTATAGAAATTTACATTTAGAAAACTTAACTTCGCACTCGACGTACGCACACATGCTGACATGGACACAGCCACCATAGTTTAGGTGGAAAAACTCGAAATTCAGAATTCTTTCTAAATATAGCACTCTTTGCGTGTGTGCGCACGTGTACATTACACCTCGCGCATGCTCGGACACTGAGTGCAGTTGGGAATTTTGCAAGTGTGCCATGTTCCACGGTAATTTTTCCACCGAAAATAGGGTGGCTGCGCGTCCATGTTGGCACAATAGCGTGTGCAGTAAATGCGCTCTCTTGTTCATGTAATTATCAGCATCCAGACTCCAACATGTCTTAAACATACATGTAGTGTTTAAACCCAACCAAGCCCACATTTATTCCCTTAATTTTACTTGCGGTATTTACATGCATACACTTTTTTTTCCTCATGTGAATCCACTTATTGTTATCCGACAAAAAAAAGGTGAAATTTTTCAACTTTTTTTTGTAAGTGTTCAGTTGAAAGCGCTGCAGTTATACAAGTTCCTGCTCTCGTAACTTTGTCATTGTAAGAACGTAAAATCAAACAAATGTGCCCCGGGTTGGTAGAACTCGTCAGCCTTTGACGGCAATCTGCCTAGGAGACGGACAACTCCGATAACAAACACGGGTTGGTAGAACTCGTCAGCCTTGGACGGCAATCTGCCTAGGAGACGGACAACTCCGATAACAAATGTGCCCGGGTGGGTAGAACTCGTAAGCCTTGGATGGCAATCTGCCTAGGAGAAGAACAACTCCGATCACAAACACGGTTGGTAGAACTCGTCAGCCTTGGACGACAATCTGCCTAGGAGAAGGACAACTCCGATAACAAACACGGGTGGGTAGAACTCGTAAGCCTTGGACGGCAATCTGCCTAGGAGAAGGACAACTCCGATAACAAACCCAAGTTGGTACATGTAAAAGCCTGTAGCCTTGCACGGCAACCATGTTAATCAGTACTATTCATGGGGTTTTTCCAGATATTTTTCTCAACAGAGTTTTTTGTCTGTTTTTTTCACTCCATGGATGTGCGGATTAAATGGAGTTTAACATTGATCAAGATTTCAAATAGTTGAGTGAGAAAATTCAACTGTAAATCTACTTTATCTGTGTATGTGTGCAATTGTTTAATTAAAAGAACAAAAGGTGACTTTTGTGAAATCAGTAACTTACAAAAAAACACTCAAAATCTTAGTTTACAGAGTAACAGATGTAACTTACATTATAATTGTTATTTTACCATATTTTTGGCTTATTTAATAGTCTGGCTGATATTGTGATTAAAAAATTAACTTATGGGTACAAACAAAAATCGGTTTGTCTGAGTGCGTACAACACCGAAGTGAACTAAGATTTTGAGTGATTTGTGTAAACCGGTAATGACTTACAAATATATATCAGACTCTTAGTCTAAAAAGTTGCACATGTAATTTACCTTTCTATAATTGTATGTCATGTAACTTTCAACTTTAAAAGTTTCACTATCATGTGTTTTTTTGCAATGTTGAATAATTTGGCTGTGTACTTGTGACTTAAAACTTAATTAATAGACACACAAGAATATCAGTTTGTCTTGGTACCCTACGTACAAAAACAAAACAAAATATTTTATTGAAATGTCAAAGTTTCACTATGAGGTCATTTGCCGGAATAAATGGAATTGTGCACAGCTGTTGGCAGAACGGATCATTGTAAATGGGTGTCATGTGTTAGTTTTTGCTAATTTTACTAAAACATCCTCTTTGTACCACACTGACTGACTGACTATCACTGACTGATGGTGAACGTACTCGTGGCTTAGCCCGGTTAAGATTTAGACTGGGCCCATTTACATGGCGCTATTAAGCACATGATTTTCTGCTAACAGAGCCTCTATTTCATGAAGACCGTGCATGCACCCCAAACCCCATGTCGTTAGGGCTTTGCGCTGGCATTAGTCCTGAGCAAGGTACATCCCCCATCCCCCACTTTTGAGAACTGATTGTCGCCCTTGAGATTGTGAGCAGTATAAGCACCTCAAAAGTACGCTTGAACCCAGGGGGAATAGTTACTTGAATCAGTGACTTAACATCAGAAATCTCCAACTTATAGCACATCCATTCCATGAAATAGTGCTTAGGGTTAGCAGTCAATTTCCTGCTGTAAGCACAACTTTTCTGCTAACTGTTAAGCAGTGCCATGAAATTGCCCCGGCCAGGGGAAATGGGGCAGTGCTGTCATATAGGAAGAATTTTATGAACTCTAGGACCTAGGTTTACTCGGCATGTCTTGTCTGTTTTTTCCCCCGTTTTTTTGCATTAAAATTTGCACATTTCAAGATATTACACTTCCTTCATCCAAATCTATCTATCAACCATATCATCCAAATCTATCAACAAATCTATTTGTTGTATGGAGCTTGCCCCAAAAGTGTTTGCGGCGCTGCGGCTTTCATTTTATCCCTACTTTTTTTCTTCAAATGTCGGCTTAAATTTATAGAAGCCATTCGTGCATGAATGTGTGCCAACTTGTACAATGAAAGTTGAAACCTCAGCAAGTTTCACATCCAGTGGATGTCCAGGTGTTTGAAAAGAAAACTGGAATTCCCCTGATGAGAAATACCCTGATTTTGCTATCATGACATTCTGCTGGAGTTAAAAAAAAATGTCACCTGTATGAAGTGCAATACATGTATATGACAAAAGCATATGACTTGGAATGAAAAATTGAATACTAATTTATACCAAATATTGGCACTGTGGAGAGTGGCCTAGTGTTTGATCGGACGGTCAGGGGTTCAAATCCAGCTGCTGGTCATATGTTGTGTCCTTGGGCAAGCCACTTCACCTCCACTTGCCTCTCTCCGTCCAGGAGTATAAATGGGTACCGGCAAGAGTGATGGACTGGCATCCCATCCGTATTTCAGGGGACCAAAAATATGCTCACTAATTGTTTCATGCCAAGGAAATGCCGGCTTGATTTTGAAATACCTCTTGAAATTTTGAATGGTTTCAAGGGATTGACAATACTGTTCAATGATGTGGGCCAAATAACATGTGAAAAGATGCATGTTTTGCCCAGCAGTTGCCTGTTGGCATATGTGACCCGCTCCGCAAAAATGAGTCTGTTGTGGCAAAACTGACATTTTGAGTTAACTACATAAATAAAATGGGAATGAAATAAGCTTTCATTTGGTATATCACGGACCTCTCTAGGACATTTGTTTGCATTGTTGTGCTTGTTTCATTCTGTCAAGTTTTTGCAAAGCTAGAAGTGTCTCAATGCAGAAAAAAGGCTTTGAAAAATGACAAATACACTGTAACTAACCAAGAAAAGCACCAAAGATTCATATATTTTTTTCTTTTTCTTACAATATTTACATTTCTGTGTAAGATATTGGAACTAAAACTATCAAACAACCAAAATAAAACAAAAACAAAAAATCCAAATTTTGAGCAAATTTTTACTTTTCCATTTCAAAATGGCCAAAGCTTGAATTCAAATTATGCGACATCAGACTCATTTTTGCAGAGCGGGTCACATATAGAGGCACATGCTCTATTAATTATGCAAGAATGTTTAGATAGAAATTTGACAGGAAGATGTATACAGATGCATCTATTCAAGTTTGATTCCAATTGGACAGCAACCATTGAAATGAGACCAATTTTAAGAAATTTTAATCAAAATACCACAGACATACATTTTGTACATACTGCAAACATGTACATGTATGTATGTACCGGTACATGTATGTACATGTAGGCTAGGACTACAATTATGGACAGACATAATAATCCCATAGTCTCTTTCTTGGACAAAGTCACAAACAACATTTTATTGAAAGTATAGGCATATTTGTTTGCTTGTTGCCAGGGTACCCATATTTGTTTTGTGAAAACACTGTAACTTATTAAAAATGTCAGCACACCAGGAGTGTTGACATCAACCACCATGCAGTTTACAGAAAGCAGGCATGTTATTTGGTTGCTTGTTGACAGGGTACCGGTGTTTTTTTGTGAGTAAACCGTCCCGTAACCCCTTGATCTGCCCATGGAGAAGGTGAAAAAGCTTGAATTCAATGGATCCTATTGAATTTTGTGGGAACAAGCGGGACTTAATTCCCCTGATGAGAAATAAGCCGATGACAATGGATGAATTGAAATAATTTGGGCCCCCCACCCAGTGGTGTAGGGGGGGGGGGGGCCTATAGAGTGTGGCCTATAGGGTTCGCGACTCATGATCAGACAGTCAGGGGTTCAAATCTAGCTGCTTCATGCCAAACAAGTCAAAAATTTCCAACGATTTTGCTCAACAATTTTACTTTTTGCCCCTCTAGCTTTATAATAAGAGTTTCCAGCTCGCAAGTAAGACGTAAAAATAACTCCTTTTATGGAGAGTGGCGCGCACATCGCGCGTACGACGCGAAGACCCGCAGATGCAGCTGTGGTGAGTAAGTTGTGAATTTAGGACACTGAAATACTGACTCACTGGTAGTATTGCACATGCGGATGTTTATGTGAGGATTGTGAACGTTCAACCAATAAAACAGTAAAAGGTAGTGGATTTCAAAGGAGTCCCAATTTCAAGTGACACTGGAAAAGTGTTTAATGGGAATGGCTAAACTCTCTTCGGTATTTATGAATGTGTAATTTAAAGGTGATGTACATTAGGCAAAAAAAAATAGTTCTGCTTCCGAGTACATGGCTTTTGAAAATAGGGTAGGTATATATATATACTACTAAGGCCTACATACTACATGTACATACATATGGACAGACATAGTGATTGCATATATATAGTCTCTTTCTTTTAAAAAGTCCAGGCGAGGCAAACACAGCACAAACAACAAAGTAGGCATATATATTTGTTTGCTTGTTGCCAAGGTACCCTTGTTTGTTGTGAAAACACTGTAACTCATTGACTCTGCCCATGGTGAAGGTGAAAAAGCTTGAATTCAATTGAATTTTGTGGGAACAAGTGGGAATTCCCCTCATGAGAAATAACCCCTTGGCAAAACATTGAAATAATTTGTCAAAAAATATTTTGCTCAATATTTCCATCATATATAACATGGCATGAAAATGAAAAATTTAACTAATTAAGCCTATCTGCTTGTAAATTACGGTAGCATCTGTCAAACCATGTACATTGTAAGTTCTATTCTAGGATCCCATCAAAACACATGACTTTTCTATGCAAAGTACCATGACAAAAGGATGACTTTGAAATATTGAATACCAATTCAGAAGATACTGACATGGTGGAGCTTTGCCTAGGGTCAGGGGTTCGAATCCAACTGCTGGCAATATGTTGCCCCCTGGCAAGCCACTTTACCTCCCCTGGCCCCCTGAGTATACATGGGTACCAGCACTGATCTGCAGTAGCTCGGGAGTACCGGGTAACCTGCAATGGACTGGCATCCAATCCATATTTCAGGGGGAACAGAAATCTTCTCAGTTGTTTCATGCCACGGAAACACCAGTGTGATAGGCCATAATTGGCTTGTGATAAATGTTAGTTACTACCGGGTACCAGCAAGGGGGGACGGGATATCCAAAAAAAATGGGGGGGGGGGTGTTTCAGGCCAGTCAGATTTTTGGCTTTTTGCAAATTTGTGCAAAAGCCTTTCCTTTTGTTCTGATTTTTTTTCTGTCTTCTTTTTGTTCCCTCGCAAATCATCCTGGGTCATGAGATGTCATCTTAAAGGTGCATATTTCAAAGTCCAATAGGCCTACCGTATCTGGAGAACTTAGTCGTGGAACTATGTTCTTTCACATACTTTACCAACATCAATTGCAACATCACAAAATACTTGCCACCTCCCTGGAATTCTAGGCTCGGTGGTAAAGTATTCAGATTTTTATGGCTTTTTACAATTTTCTTTATATTCAGGATCTACTGGAATTTGCTTTAAACTTAAACCGTACATTCAGTATATACTGTAGTCCAATTTTAGCGTCTTGTGGTGAATTTTTCTGCAGTCAAGTGGTGCCATTTTTCAGTAAATGGTTCTCTACAAATGTGCACTGCATGTACACGAATACCTATTGAATGGTATAAAGTGTTGACATACCATAATGTTAAATGTGATGCAAATCACATGTGAAAGATGCTTCAATATTTCGCTAACGGTTGCCTGTAGCATGACATCATATGGCACATGGTCCATATGCAGGAATATTTGGTTAGAAATTTGGCAAGAAGATGTATACATAAACATGAACATAAAAAAAATTAAATGAAAAAAAATCCAACACCATGCAGTTTACAGAAAGCAGGCATGTTTGGTTGCTTGTTGACAGGGTACCGGTGTTTGTTTTGTGTAAACCGTCCCATAGCCCCTTGATCTGCCCATAGAGAAGGTGAAAAAGCTTGAATTCAATGGATCCTATTGAATTTGGTGGGAACAAGCGGGACTTCCCCTCATGAGAAATAAGCACATGAAAATAGATGAATTGAAATAATTTGACAACATCACACTGACTAATAGATTAATTAATGTGTCAGTAATGTTGGCAATTATTAATTGCCGAGTGAGATGTAAGTGCATTTTACATTCAATTCCACCGGTGCTTCAGACTGACTCCATGACACACTCTGCATATATAGGCTTTTGATATATAACTATTGTGTACTTGGGACCTTTGTTTTTCCAGTAGGGTTGGTTGTTTTCTGTGTTTGCTTGTACTTTATTTTTGTCTGCTTATAAATTGAAAGTACTGTTTACATTCTGTATGCTGATGTGTATAATTAGACTCTGACCAGGTCGTAAACTTTACATGTTCAAGTGCACATGCATACTGTCAATAAGCTTATCACAGCCCGAAAAACAAACAAAATGTCAAACTTGGTCACAATCAGCCTGTGCACATGACACCCTATTTAGGATTCAAGTCCTTTTGTGAAACTATATAAACTGCATTTCATTGGCGGGAATTTCATAACAACGATCAAATTTCATCAGCCGGGATTGTAGCAGCCAGGCATTGGAATCACGTACATGTACCGTATAACAATTCGATATAAACTTATTTTGATAGCAGAATCGCCAAAATTCTGTGATTGTAGTTCTCGGTAATCAAGACAGTTCTGCTGTCTTCCTGTAGATATTTTTGTTTAGTCTATTGTCTAATGGATAGTGTGTAAATTGAACATTTGAGAAGTAGTTCACAGGGGTGCATACATGTACTACGTTCCGCAGTCCCAATGTTTCCCATTTCATATGTTCCCTAGTACCTATGTTCCCCAAACCCTATGCTTCCCAATCCCTATGTTTCCCGATACTAATGTTCCCCAGTCTCTAAACCTAACCCTATAGGATTGGGAAACATAGGGATTGGGGAACGTAGGGATTGGGGAACATACATTTGTAGGGATTGGGGAACATAGGGACTTATGGGGATCGAACATAAGGGTTGGGTAACACAGGGATTGGGAACACAGGCATTGGGATTATAAATTGGAGGGGTAACCTGCCAATCGGAGATCTTAATTGTTCTGTAATACTTGACAAAGCCTGGCTCAGGGCCAATGAGCAGGGCCCAATTTCATAGCGCTGCTTAACAGCCGACTTTGCGCTTACCAAGCCTCCATCTATTTCATCAGGGACCGTTAAGCAGTAGGCCCATGGAGGGTTCTTAATCCTCCATGGTAGGCCTAAGCACAGCAAAAGCACGCTTAACCCCAGAAGAAAACTTTGCTTAAATCAGTGATGTAACAATAGAAATCTTCATTTGCGCGCAACCGTTAGCATGAAATAGTGCTTAAGCAACAGCATGATTTTCTGCTGTAGTAAGCACAACTTTTCTGCTTACTGTTAAGCAGCTATGAAATTGGGCCCTGTTGTACTTAGTTTGCTTGTAATTTATTTTTGTCTGCTTGTAAACTGTGCATGCACGTAGTGAGTGGACTCTGAATGCTTTATATGTACATGCACAAAACCAGGTCACAAAGTACATGCTCAAAGTGCGTGTTCCACATGCACCCCTTTGTCCATATGTTTGTCATTTAGCATATCATAGCCCGAAACATAAAAAGAACGCACATGTTCCCAACTGGCAGTGCAGAACAACCAATCAAATTATAGAGAGCCTACGTCAATCATAGGAGCCTATTAAATATGGCACTAAAATACTGATTTATAGACCATAAAAGCATTTGTGTCAATGGTTGTGTTGGGTTGTTTGTTTGTTAAGTTTGTTTGTTTGTTGCCTGGGTTTTTCTGTAAACCTCCTAACCCCTCAATCTGCCCATAGGAAAGGTGAGAAAAAACTTGAATTCAATGGATTCTACTAAGTTTTGTGGGCACAAGTGGAAATTCCCCTCATGAGAAATAGACCTATATGGCAATGGATGCATTGAGTAAATTGAATAAAACGGAAAAATACCAAAGTCGAATGCAATATATGTCGTGCAAACAAATTTGAAATGTATATATGTCTGTCACAAGTAAATCATGTACATTGTTATTCTAGGGTCCCATCAAAACACATGACCTTTCTATGAAGTGCCATGTATGACAAAAGGATGACTTAAAAATATTAAACACCATTAGGCCTGCTAGACTCATTGCATTGAAGGGCAAACAATATCAAATAGCAAAACCACATTTTTGAATGGCCAACTCGAGCATTTCTTTCCACATTAATAGCATCATGCAAGTCAGTTTTTGGCAGAATTGTTAACAGGCAAAGTACGATGTAGCTCAACTTTCAAATTTCTAAAAACAACATTGAGGGGAGCCATATTTTGACATGCAATCTCGATCTAACTCTTCATCTCTTACCAAAATTCAAACAAATATCTCCAGTGAGTAAAAGTAAACCTGTTTCAGAATGTTGATTGCAACATTGTAAAATACTCTTGGGCATAGGTATGATCAACCTGTGCATTACATTACCGTTTGTTTTGTATGCTGGGGTAAATACAACATCAATTCGTCGTGCCGTGAGTTCCGAAAACACACTTGTTGTCGAAGTTCAATTGTTACAATCTTATCCTGCCAATATGCAATATCCCATTTTATATTAATATGCGCAAATTGGAAAGGAAAGGTTTTTTTAGAAGGTGTGTGGACGTTATATTACAATGGTCGTGAAAATACCAAGTACACGATATAAATCCATTACTAGCAAATTGCCATATCGAATCAGGATACAGGAAGGAAGTTTCCTATCCAGGGCTTACTATTGGAAACGAGGTTGGAATAAAGTGCACTGGGGACGAGGTTGAAGTATGATGGATTAAAGGGAAAATACAAACATCAGCAAATATAACTACCAAATTATTTTGAAATATCTTACTGGACTGTTAGTGAATGACAGTCTAAAGCATCCTGTAAAAATAGCATTTTCGTATCAATTTCCAACGCTGATCGGCCAACCTGCGTTGGAAAAAAAAATGGCTCTTTTCAATTACTGACCCCAATTGGCCATATTTAGTAAGTCCACATTTATTTGCAATCGATTACACACCTATGAACGGGTACAAGCCTGCTAGACTGGTTCCTTGACCTTACAATCCCTCAACAGCTATACATTGCTTCGTTTCATCTTAAATGGAGTCACGGAACCAGACTACAGGAAAATGATGGTTTTCTTGGTTTGTATAGCATATACGAACCCAAAAAGTTTTTTTAAAAAGTCATTGTAACAATATTTGCTATTATTACCAACCCCCAAATCCATCCATTTCTGAAATTACAGCAAAAGCAAATGACGTAGGCCTATTATTCCCTTTAAAGTTTACACAACAATTGCACAACTTGGAATTCCCAGTGATGCGCACGCAATATGCCGGCAGGAATAGAACATGACATCATTGTATGAGCACCAATCACGTTGTCTAAAAAAATCAGGCCACTGCCTGTTGCACAACTTCCGCTTGATGCGCGAGTATATAAACCTGTGAAGAGCCTATTTTTGGCACCTGGCAGTAAAATGTCAATGATAAACGTACAGGTGAGTTTTTAAAATTCCTGTGTAACAAATGTTGACGGATTTTGGTGCTTGTTTTTAGGTTTACATCAGAAATTCAACATTCTCCACAAAGAAAAAAAATGTGTTTACACAAGTAAATCAATGGTCTAACCTTGGCTCCATGGTTTATAGCCACATCTCTTTTGTTTACTCCATGTACGTACATGCTCATTAGATTTACACGTAGTTGCAGCAGGCAGTCATGTTATAGTACAGCAATTTCATGAAAAACAAGTCAGGTGTGTTTACAAACACAAATGCCCCGCAACCGTGACAGTTCCCATGACATAACACCACTCTTTTAACATCAACTTATGTACCTTGGTCACATGGAACGTTCATTGACAGCATTAGTGTCTTCTGTAGGTTTTATATGAATTAATCCCTAATCCCTATGATCTCAGAATAAATACAAGATTTCTATTGTTTTAGCAACTGTGACCTTGACCCTTGACCTTTCGACCCCAATGCGATAGGCCTATTTGGATTACCAAGAACAATACACAAACCAAATTTGCAGTTCACATGTAAAGTATTTCTCAAGTTATCGCGCTGACAAAATTCCTTTTGTTTTAGCCACTGTGACCTGACCCTTGACCTTTCGGCCCCAAATGCAATAGGCTTCTTAGGATTACCAAGAACAATACACAAACTAAATTTGAAGTTCACATGTAAAGTATTTCTCAAGTTATCACGCTGACAAAATTTCTTTTGTTTTAGTCACTGTGACCTTGACCCTTGACCTTTCGGCCCCAAATGCAAAAGGGTTCTTAGGATTACCAAGAACAATACACAAACCAAATTTGAAGTTCATATGTTAAGTATTTCTCAAGTTATCGCGCTGACAAGATTTGTCCGAACACACACACACCCACCCACCCACAGAAGGGCAATGCGGAAACAGTATGCCCCTTCGGCTTCGCCGCAGGGCATAAAAATCTTCATTCTTTAGAAAATCAAAGAGGTCCAACGTTTTATAGAATTTCTACCAAAAAAAAACCTGTAGCATCTTTATGAAGAAACTGTATGAATTTTCTATTGAAATCTTCTATCCTTAGACCACTTTGGAACCTTGTGATACCAAAGTGATCACTAAACCACATGATCGCTTCGGCACCAGAAAAATCTGGTCTAAGATGAACGGTTTCGTCATCGCGTCTCCCCAGATGACAGACACAACAAATTCTTTTTTTGCCTTGCATCTTTTGTAAGATTGCCTTCCTCTCTCTCTCTGGCAACTAAATGTGGCATGCTAGCTCGGTTTTCACTTCCATTTCTTCTCTTTCGTTTAGAATAACGAGAGGGAGTTTGAACTGCCTGAGTCAACCAAGCGGTTGAAACCTGAAAAATGTGGTAAGTGTATTTTTTTTCTTCCAATTCGTGTGTAGTAGAACATCAACTGAACACTTGTTCAATGGTGGATGAAACAAAAATTACAGTAGACACAAATATAAAGCAAGAAACAAATTGTCCTTTGTTCAGCATGGGTGTAGTTCAGAACTCAGGAGAGATTCCTTTTGTAAGTGGATGGGGGAGCTTGAAAAATGTAATTGACTGTTTCGGCAACCGGCCGAAACAGCCTTTGTTTTCGTTAAGATTTTTTCCCCAGTCATTTTTGCCCATAGCATTTGTACGTACCAGTCCTTCATTTAAAGAAAATCCAGGAGAGCTATAAATCGCTCTCCTCAAATATTTGAGGAGAGCAAATCGCTCTCCTTAAAATCTACGGAGATTTACCATTGTTTTTGTTTTATTTTGAATATAAGGATTTATTCAAGGGGCTGCATTATTATTTTTTGCATAATAACATATGCTCAAGTTGCGTTACTTTTTTCGTTTTTAACTGTAAGACAAGGTAAATTTATTTTAAAAAACTAACTAAATGGAGATTAATAAAAGGTTTGACTACTGCTTAGGCTTTCATTTTTTAATACAGTTGTCAGTTGGTTCATCACTTGATTATACTTGGAAAATGGAGAGTTAATAAATGTCACATAGAAAGCAACTGAATATTTGCTTTCAGATTCGTTAAAATTATATGAAATTTTCAGCCTGAACTATTTCAATTGCTCTACGAAAGCATTACAAAAAGAGCCTCAAAAGGACACAAACTTGCCTTAAGTTTTATCGAAAATATCTGCCGTCGATAATCTTAAAAATAATGGAAAATGCAGGTCAAGTATACACAATGCTAGTCACGATGAGAAACTGGCTAACAACGTCTGAACTTCGCACTAGTACGAGCGTTTGTTGATGCACTGTGTGTGGTGGGCCGGGAATGAGACTCATTTTACGGTATAGGATTTCGGTGAAACAAGCTGCATCGTTTCACTTCACATACCAGTAAAACTTCCTCAAAATAAATTCATGAACACGGGAAATACATGTACATACACAGACAAGAAAGATCAAGTTCTGTGATTAAGCTTGCAAAGATCGTCCTATTACATTGACTGGTTACCACATTTTCATCATGCCTTCATTGGGACTTAGTGCGTGGCGCAGCGGGAACCAGTCACTGCTGCACTCACACGTACGGGCCCACGTGTTTTCATGCAGCTCTATGCGATATGCAGATTGTGCATGCACAGTATACAACCGCTGTACACACACGATCTTATACAGTACGTACGAGCTCGGTGTTCGTTCATTTTTAGCGATGTCCAGTAGCATATTAACGTGAGTTTGGGCTTATACCAACGAAAAATACGTGTAGCTTAAGACTTAAAATCCTTTGCGCTTTTATCACTTCTTATTTTTAAACTTCCCCTGTTTGACGAGCCCTCTTTTGGATTTCTGAGGAGTGCTATTTTTGGCGCTCCTTCGAGACAGTCGAGAAGCACAGTAGGAGCGCCTGCGCGATCGCGTTCCTTAAAAATGAAGGACTGACGTTTCGTATTTTTTGTTACCAGCACTTTGACAACTAAAATCAATCCGATTGCCTTTATACTCTGCACACACTTAGACCAGCATCTGAAAATGTGCGCCGCACATTGACATCATCATGTGACCTGTGACGTCACAATATAGGTGCACATTTTGAAGGCCTATATCTCCAGAACTACAGGTCCGATTGGGTTCAAAATTGGTATGTACCTAGACCGGGATGTTAGTGACGTCACGATGATGTCATCACGTGACAAGTGACATTATATTAAATGTGCATATTTTGAAGGCCAATATCTGCAGAAGTACAGGTCTGATTGGGTTTGAAACTTGGTACGAAACCAAACCGGGATGTGTTATAGATGAAAATGACGTTATCACTTGACACGTGACATCACATTAAAAGTACATATTTTGAATGCCAATATCTACAGAACAACTCGTCTGATTGGGTTGAAAATTGGTATGTACCGGTACCTACATGTATACTGGGATGTATTATAGATGAAAATTGAAGTGACGTCATGATGACATCATCACGTGACATGTGACGTCACATTAAAGTGCACATTTTGAAGGCCAATACCGTATCTACAGAACTGCAGGTCTGATCGGGTTAAAACTTGGTACCGGTATGTACCTAAACTGAGATGTTTTACAGATGAACATTAAAGTGATGTCAGTCACGATCACGTCATCACGTGACATGTGACGTCATATTAAAAGTGCATATTTTGAGGGCCAATATCTACAGAACTGTATTGGTCCTGATCACTCTACATGTACCACATACATCCTATCAGTCCTACATGACATACATGTAACAAATTACCGAAACAGCCGTATGTTTGTACACAAACATAATTAAATCTAGTTTCAGTTTTTTAATCTTCAACATCTACATCTTGAATATTTGCATACAGCGGAAAATTATCTTCTGTATGGCCACAACAACATACATGTATATCTACCGGGTATTGAATGGTAAAAAAATACTGTACGTGAGACTTACGCAATCCTCCTGGCATGCTGGATTATTTTTTTAAAGTCAGTGTCCCTAACCGAAATGGAAGATTTCTACTGTTTTAGCAATAGTGACCTTTGATCTGTCGGCCCCAAAATCAATAGGCTTCTTAAGACTACAAAGAACAACCCACAAACCAAATTTCAAGTTCCTAAGTAAAGTATTTCTCAAGTTATCGCGTTGACAAGATTTCTTTTGTTTTAGGAATAGTGACCTTGACCTTTGACCTGTCGGCTTCAAAATCAATAGGCTTCTTAAGACTATCAAGAACAACCCACAAACCAAATATCAAGTTCCTAAGTAAAGAAAATCCTTTTCCTTTGTTTAAACATTTTTCATTGTTGAAAAGCATTTGCTGTGCTGTGAAAACGGGGGAGTTTAGATGGTTCGTTTTTTTGTTTGTTTGAGAATTTTTTTTCTTTTGGGTGGGGGAGTTTTGACACCATGTATAGTTGTTGTTTTCTTCCAAAGTACATGTAGCTTTTTTCTTCTTTTTGTATCAGTTCTACAAGATATAACAAATGGCTTAACTGAGGGACTGAGTGAACAGGAGGAACAGATCAGTGGGACTGAAACCAACTCCTCATCAACTGTCACTCAGACACAGCAGCTCAAGACCAATGGCTGCGCCTCCAAGGAGCCCACCAACGAGCTAGATGCAGATAGGCACAGTCCAAAAGGCATCAAGGGCTCATCAGAAAAAAAATCAAATGTGATGAGGCCGTTGCTCTGCAGCCCAACCACGAGCAAAATGCAACAAGCCCAGTCCAAAAGGCATCAAGGCTCAGAACAAAAAATCAAATGTGATGAGGCCGTTGCTCTGCAGCCCAACCACGAGCAAGATGCAACAAGGCCCAGTCCAAAAGGCATCAAGGACTCAGAACAAAAAATCAAATGTGATGAGGCCGTTGCTCTGCAGCCCAACCACGAGCAAGATGAGACCTCCAACTCTACTGAGACAGTGAGTTCTTGCTTATTTTTCAACTCTTTCTTCCCTATAGGACTTTTATTTAGGACTTAAAGAAACTGTATCAAACTCATAACTCATGTCATCAATTTGTTTTGTTCTTCATTAGTTCTTGATTATCTTTGATTTAAATACTTGTTCTGTAATTGTTTACTTTCCTTTGATTTTCACCAATATGGAAATAGATGTCAAACTGAATTAAATTGAATTGAATCTTCTAAAGAATTGAGAAATCTTCTATAGCCACTTGGAACAATGTGATGGATGTGATACCGAAGTGATCACTAAACCACATGATCGCTTCGGCACCAGAAAAACCTGGTCCAAGATGAACGATTACATCAGCAAGTGTCCCCAGACGACAGACACAACATATTTTTTTCTTGCCATGCATCATTTGTATTATTGCCTTCCTCTCCTCTCCCTGGCAACTGAATTTGGCATGCTAACTCAGTGTTCACTTCCATTTCTTCTCTTTTGCTTAGAATAAAGAGAGGGAGTTAAAACTGCCCAAGTCAACCAAGCAGTTGAAACAAGAACAATATGGTAAGTGCATTTTTTTTTTCTTACGATTCATGTAATAAACATCAACTGAACATTTGTATATTGGATGAAACAAAAGTTACAGTGAACATGATAAGCAAGAAACAAACTGTCTGTTGTTCAGCATGGATGTAGTTCAAACTCGGGAGAGATTCTTTCGTAGGTGGGTAGGGGTAGTTGAGAAATGTCATTTTAGTTTTGTAATCTACAACATCTACATCTTGAATCTTTGCATATAGTGGGAAATTATGTTTAATATTTTCTGTATGGCCCAGGCGCGGTTCTAGATATTTTTGGGGGGCTAGCACGGTGGATCCAGAAATTTTTTTCAGGAGGCGTGCTGAAATGTTGACCGGTTTATTTTTTCCAGACACTTAGGCCTCCGAAAATCAATATTGGTGGTGGGGGGGGGGGGGGGGGAGGGCTCATGCCATATTTTCAATGGGGAGCGCCAATAAAATCCTAAAATCATTCACACTATAGCAAGGCGGGATCCAGAACACAATTTTTTTGTGGGGGCCAAAAAAATTTTGGTTCCCCAAAAAAGTGGGTCCAAAAAATTACGGCCCTTAAGCGGGCCCCGAACAATTTTTGGATTCTAGATGCTCTGTGGTGCGATCTGAGGCAATTTCTGACCACTTTAACCAATTGTTTTTGAGGAAAAGATGGTGGTGTACTCATTGCCTGCCTTTATTGCGATGTCACATAAAAAAAAAAACATAGGTTTCGGGGTTTTTTTTGGGGGGGGGCGATGGCCCCCTTTGGCCCCCCCCCCTCCTGGATCCGCCCTTGCACTAGGGGGAGACCGTTCACATGTACATCACAATCCTTCTTTTTGCTAATGCAATTTTTTTTAAGGAATTTATTTTTTGGCCCCCCCCCCCCCCCCCCCCGTAGAACCGCGCCTGGTATGGCCATAACAAGATATCTACCGGTATCTATTGAATGGTGCAAAAAACAATTATGGAAACTTTGTGGAAATTGTTGCATGAGACACCTGCAGTTCTTTATCTTTTGATCTGCTCTCAGAGAGAAGTGTCTTAAAAAAAAATTAAAGCGCCCTCTTTTTCACAGCTTTAAAAAATACATCGCAAACTTCTATACATAATTCATTAGCTTTTAAACAACAATGGAATCAAGTTATGCATGGTGCCTCTATTAAACTCATCAATATTCTCTCTCAGCAGTGTCAATTTACACGTGAGGACCTCCATCAGAACATTTCCCACCTTGACTCCCAACTCAAATCCAGTTGTTCTGATTCCACGTACAGGAATTTCAATGATGAGATTGAAAGGGGTTTGTCTAACCTGGACTATGTCCTACTCAACAGGAGAAACAAGAAGATTGGTGGGCTTACTTGCCAAGCAACAACAACGCAGACACAGTCGTTTCAGACGTCCTAGGTCCCCATCTACTACGCCATCGCCAGAACCCCCTGTCAACACTGTAGTTAATCTTTCTTCCTCATCCATATCTGACGCAGAGCACAAACTTCTCTCCAAGGGTCTCAATTTTTGTCCCGCTCCCCGTTCTGTGAACCAGGTTCAGCTCAGCCAAGATCTCACGGAATACTACCATAGAATCCGTCTGCGTGAGTTTTTTCCTGGACAGTGAACCGTGTGAGCCAGAGCCTTTTCGAGTCAAGAGTTCATGGGTACCCCCAAGAATCGTGTGCCAGCCATAGAGACATACGTTCAAGTTATAAATTCCCAAGTCACTAACCCGGAAAACTTCCCCCACAGGACTCATGATAATCTCCCCAGAGAGGAGCGCCTGGCTCTCAACTCCTTGGGCTCTCGCACCGACATCATCATCAAGCCAGCAGATAAAGGTTCAGCTGTGTCATCATGGATCGTCAGCAGTACATTGACGAGGCCCACCGTCAGTTGGATAATCGCACTAACTATACCCCCTTGACTCTGACCCCACAGGCACTTTCTGTCGAGATATACAACAGGTACTTGACGATATGCGATCACGTGACCAGTTATCCAAGAAAGCTCACAAATTTCTTTCTCCCTGTGATTGTAGGACTGCCAGATTTTACCTTCTACCCAAGATTCACAAGGCTGGCAACCCGGTAGACCCATCATCTCCGGTAATGGCTCACCCACGGAACGCATCTCCCTGTTCATTGACAGTTTTCTCAAACCCCTTGTCCCACAGATTTCGTCATACATTCACGACACCCCAGACTTCCTACGCAAGCTTGAAGGAATCAAGGACCAGATTCCAGCACGGCCATCATTGGACTTTCGACGTCTCATCTCTGTACACCAACATCCCACATGAGGAGGGTGTTCGTGCTTGCTCCTTGGCTCTGGCCAAGGCAGGACACACGACTCCTCCCATCAGTAATGTTGGCACCCTCATGAGACTTATACTAACGAGAAACAATTTTTCCTTCCTGGTAAACACTATCTACAGGTACAGGCACTGCAATGGGCACTCGCATGGCCCCATCCATGGCTTGCCTCTTCATGGTGACCTCGAAGAACGCATTCTTGCCTCGGCCCCATGTCGCCCTTGGATCTGGTGGAGATATATTGATGATGTTTTTTCATCTGGACAAGCGATGAGGACAGTCTCTTGACCTTCACTAACCACATCAATTCCTTCCACAGAACCATCAAATTCACATCGGAGTTCTCGGCTCACAAAACCCACTTTCTGGATGTCAACGTCCGCAAACAAGGCAACTCACTAACCACTGACCTGTATTCCAAACCCACAGACACCCACCAGTACCTACACTCCTCCAGCTGTCACCCCAGGCACTGCAAAACTGGCATAGCGTTTAGCCAGGCACTCAGACTCAGAAGAATTTGTTCTAATGATTCTGATTTCTCCCCGCCATACACAGATACTGAGGAACAACTTGGTGGCCAGGGGTCACAGCTCTCGCCAAGTTCATCATGCCATTGCCAGAGCTAAAGCTATCCCCAGAAATCTAGCTCTCACGGGAAAGGCCCCTGATGCCATGGCCAAACCCATGATTCCCTTGGTCACCACGTTTCACCCCAATCTCCCTCCCCTTCGCAAAATCACTAATGACAATCATCATATCCTCCATACTTCAGATCGCCTTGCCCGCGCCATCCCCAACGGCCCCACATTGGCTTACAGGCGTCCTCGAAATCTACGGGACTTGATTGTTCGAGCTGAAGTCCCATCCTTAGATGCATCCCTCCCACCCAGCATGGTACTTCAAGTGCAGTTCCAGATGTGTTGTCTGCCAGATTCATATCCAGGAGTCTGACTCCTTTTCTGGCCACTCTTCTGTCACTACCCACAGAACCATTGGTAACATCACTTGTAACACCCCTAATGTCATATATCTCATTTCTTGCAGGGTCTGTGAGTGCAGTATGTAGTGAGACTAAGAATACGCTGAAGAAGCGTTTCTATGCCCACCGGTCAACGGTCAACACCAAGAAACTAGACACCCCTGTTGGTCATCACTTCAACCTGCCTAACCACTCCATTTCTGATATGATTTTGCAGGGCACTGAATCTCTTGGCCATCGCAAGGACTCAGTTCGCCTCAGCAGAGAGAAAGTGTGATGAATCGTCTTCGAATTATTCAACCACATGGTCTCAACATCCAACTTGGAAATGATTAATCTTTTCTTCCTCCATTGTCTTCTGTTACAGATAATCCACCTGTCTTCATTGTTTGTGTTTACCATCTTCCCTTCCACCTCCATACTGTTCCCCCCCCCCCCCCCCCCCCCCCGCATAATCCCCCTTCACTCGCACACTTCTTTTGTCCGTTCCCCTCCCTGTGACCTTTGATCCTTCCCTTTCTGGTCCCTCCCCTGTTCATACCAGACCCCTTGTGGTTTGCCATCTCCCTTTGCTTCTTGTTCTCTCATCCACCCTCCCCTGCATCTTTCCACACCTTTCCCACCTAATCCTCCTTTGTGTTTCTTCTTTTAGCCCTGCATGTTTGTGTGCACCCCCAGGTAATGTATGTACCTCTGTCATTTTCTGTTTTTAGCCTCTGAAGAAGAACTTGCTAAGTTCGCAACGTCAGGCCACATTAATTTTTAGCTTTTTCATTTTGTCCATGCAACTGATGTTTTGACTGCCGCAAGAAGAAGACAGGCCAAAACCTGCATTCGTGAACTTAAGGCTACAAGTAGAGGGCAGAGACAGAGCAGCTCAGTAAACATCTAAGGAGTTAACCATACAGTCCTTTTGTGAACTACCATTACTTCCAAAAGGATAAATGACCATTGTTGCAAAAAGTGAGCAACAAAAATGAAAGAGCCAAATTAAGAAAGAAAGATTAAACATTCAAGAAAGCTAAACTACCCTCACCCCAAATCCATCACATTCTTGACAAATGACAATTGAGACTATCAACAGATTGAAAAATCGGTGCTTATTTTGAATTGGCCATAACTCAATAAATATGTGTACCCGATTGGAAAGATTGTTTAGTGTTGAAAAGCTAATGAACTTAAGGAAGTTTAGACGGTTCGTTTGTTTTTTGTTTTTTTGGACACCCTGTATAGTAGTTTTTTTTCTTCCTAAGTACATGTAGCTTTCTCTTCTTTTCTTATCAGTTCCAAACATAACAAATGGCTTAACTGAGGGACCGAGTGAACAGGAGGACCAGTTCAGTAGGACTGAAGCCAGCTCCTCATCAACTGTCACTCAGACACACAAGACCAGTGCTGCCCACTAAGGATCAGTCACTGGCCAGCATAAAAAGGTAAGCCCTGGTGAAGTGCTTCGGTTCAAACTAATAGGAAATATCCCAAAAACCATTATTTCTTGCTTCACAGAATTCAATCTACAGTAATAATCAGAATTTTCATCATTTTCTCATCCTCGGCATTACAAGGGCTTTCAGGTTAAGTTGAAAAACCTCTGATACACGTACATTTTGTGAAAGGTAAATTGTTTTTTTTTATATATTAAGCAAAATTTAACACCTTTAATGATAACTGTCTCCAAACAAAATAACACTCTCAGTGGCTTTTTAACTCCAGTAAAATCGAAACAAGTGTCACATGTTCATGTGTATGCATGTTTGTTTTGTTTCTTTTCTCTTTTTTTCAAATGTAAAAAGGCCTAGTCAAGAAGGATCGAGGGCTCCCGAAAAAGATCAAGCATGATGAGGCCGTCTCTCTACAGCCCGATCACGAGCAAGTTAAGACCTCCAGCTCTGCTGACACAGTGAGTTCTTGCTTATTTTCCATTTCTTCTTCATCAGCAGAAGATTGAAAAAAGCTCGTTGCCCAGCCTTTCAAATTCAAAAGGGGGCCTGAAACCACATTATTCATGCTACACAGAAGCAGATCTGGAAGTGGGGTTCA